GTCAGGCACTCGGGACATCCAAAAATACAATAAAAGTCCATGGGACCAACATGTAAACATATAAATTTATGCTGTGAAAACGGACATTTTAACATCCGGTCTATGGATATTTTCTCCCTTTTGGGACCTCCCTCTAGCGGATTTTCAATGTATTGCAGTTTTTCGCACTTCCGGGTAGGCTTCATTTTTCAGATTAGAATGTTGCCGCTTGGGTTGCAGGCACAACGCAGCCGTGACTTTCACGATACAGCACAATATGTACGATTTTTTCGCCACAAGAGGGCGCAGTTTCCAACAATAACAAAGGCGTAGGTTGATGACGCAGTGATGAGCTGAATGATGGGACTTGCTGTCAAGCTGATGGATAATGTTTATGGATGAGTGCAAACATTCATGTTTTTTAACATTACAGTGAAGCAGGTCGCGACGCGAGTCCCGCGGATATAAAGGAATAAGGACATTTAATTCTACCGAACTACCCGCATGCAAGTGCTGGATTACTCACACAGGTCAGTTTATTAGACGAATTAAACTTGTGAGGTAACGCAGCGCTGCTTCACTTGGTCTAACGTTACACTATCACACTAAACGGCATTTAAATGTGTTGAAAGTTATAATACTACGTGTTAGTTCGTTTGCTATACGAAACTAGCAGTAAGCTAGATCAACATTAGAATAACATACTGACCATATTCTAACATTTCATCATGTTGAGCTAACGTTATAACATTGATTTGTTGTATGTACATTTGCTCACCTGTCTAATAAAGCTGTCAAGTCGTGACTCGTGAAGCTCTGTCAAGTCCAGTTAGTCGCGGACGTGGAGTTCTCGGCATCTCAAAAACGCCACGCTGACATTGATCCTCATTTTAGTTCTCCTTGTTTGTCCCAAAGTCTGCTTGCCATGGTCTTTGTTTGAAAGAAACAAGAACTGCGTGCCGCTAAACTTTACGCACTATGCTGTTGTCCACGTCTGTCACCATGGTTACGTCATGGCTATGGCAGTATGAACGGAAACCGAGGATATCGCGGATATTGCGTCATTGACAGGGACATTTTTTTCCGGGACGGCCACTTATTTAAAATTGGAATTTCTCTGAAATAAAAATCTTTGGAGAATTTTGGTATATTGTAAGTACACAACTGCAGGAAATATATCACACTGTGCAAGTGATTTTTGGATATTTTATTAAAAAAATCTTACATATTGTACCTTTAAGTAACTGCCTTTCATAATTACTAGTGATTACTTTTGATTTTCATCTCATTATTTAATCCTTAATGGTTCCAAATCTTAATGGTTAATGAATGAATAATTTGGTACATCTATAGATTTCTATAGATACAGATTCTATATAGTTTCTACTTTGTTTGCAATTTCCGATACTGATTACCAAATGTAATAAATTATTTTTACATTTAAGCAATTTATTTTAGATTATAACCACTATGTTCAAAATGTGTGTGTGGTCTGTGTAGCCTGGTAAACTATGGGGACAAAATGTTCCCAAACGATGGCAATATCCGAAATCCTTGTTCTTGTGGGGACATGTTTGGTCCCCATGAGGAAAACAGCTTATAAATCATACTAAGTGATGGGTTTTTTTTAAAATATAAAAATGCAGAAGGTTTTCTGTGAGGGGTAGGATTACTGTAAAGTGATCAAATCTACAGTTTGTACAGTATATAAATCATTATATATATATAGACAGTCCACATAAAACACAAGAGAGTGAGTGAGTGAGTGTGTGTGTGAGAGAGAGAGAGAGAGAGAGAGAGAGAGAGAGAGAGAGAGAGAGAGAGAGAGAGAGAGAGAGAGAGAGAGAGAGAGAGAGAGAGAGAGAGAGAGAGAGAGTATTTCTTGAGTGGATCAGAAAGATTTGCAATTTGTGAACATAGAGCAGGATAGAGTTCAAGGAAGAGGAAATAGTCTATGACTGTGTAACATCAGACTAATCAGAGATGCATCAGAAGAAGGGAGAAAGATGGCATCAAATACAGCATTTTACATTACAGTATGTACGCCATGTGATGCTTTAAACAGATTACCATGGTAGAGACTGCCACATTATTGTTACCCTTATTAAGGTCAACTATAGATTCAGTCATATGGTACAATAAAAACATTTACAGTATTGGCAGCAAACTTTGTTCTATACAGCACAAAACCTCATGGCTGTGTCATATCTTCATCACCCCTTTTGATAACTGAATAGATACTATTACAAACATTATGGATTTTATGTTACGTATAATGTAGCCTGTGGTACTGTAAGTATTTTAGCAACACGGGTGATTTAAAACTGTATTTTTTGGGATGTATTGATGTATCTCTTGCATTGTTTGCTATTAAATGAATTGATTGTTAAAAGTAACCTACTAAATTGAAAGAAGATCATACTGTTGTGTTTCAGTGATTAAACCAAATGTTTTCATTACATATTACAATAATCTTGAGTTTGAAACAACGATTATGTGGACTGAAAATGTGTATAACTGAATTAAATGATGGGATCAGGTTTTGAAGGAATGACTAGCTGTGTTATGTGTGATCAGTTTGGATTTTTGTAAGAGGTTTGAAAATGTACACCTTACTTTGGAAAATAGTACCAAAGCGAATAAAAAAAACTGTAATGCTCTATAATGTGAACAACAGTTTGTAATTCGTATTACAGTTGTTTTTATTTTTACCTGTGCCATGCTGAACGCCAACAGGATAAGCCACGGTTCAAACTCCTTCCTTCTCTTCACTCGTTGTGCTAAACCAATATCGCCATCTAGTGGCTGACTTCTGTTCCTGCTTCTCCAGTTGTGTTTGACACAGTTCTACACGGCTGTGCTTGAAACCGGGCAAATAACTACATAATTAAATGTGACGGTAATAATAACGAGGCTGTGAGGGATTTTTATCATGACGTCATTTTGAAACATAATTTTGCCATGGGTTCTAAGCAGTTTCGCAGTGAGGTCAAATAGCAAAAAGTAAACAAATGTAAAAAAATATATATACACTCACCGGCCACTTTATTAGGTACACCTGTCCAACTGCTCGTTTACACTTAATTTCTAAGCAGCCAATCACATGGCGGCAACTCAGTGCATTTAGGCATGTAGACATGGTCAAGACAATCTCCTGCAGTTCAAACCGAGCATCAGTATGGGGAAGAAAGGTGATTTGAGTGACTTTGAACGTGGCATGATTGTTGGTGCCAGAAGGGCTGGTCTGAGTATTTCAGAAACTGCTAATCTACTGGGATTTTCACGCACAACCATCTCTAGGGTTTACAGAGAATGGTCCGAAAAAGAAAAAACATCCAGTGAGCGGCAGTTCTGTGGGCGGAAATGCCTTGTTGATGCCAGAGGTCAGAGGAGAATGGCCAGACTGGTTCGAGCTGATGGAAGGGCAACAGTGACTGAAATAACCACTCGTTACAACCGAGGTATGCAGCAAAGCATTTGTGAAGCCACAACACGCACAACCTTGAGGCGGATGGGCTACAACAGCAGAAGACTCCACCGGGTACCACTCATCTCCACTACAAATAGGAAAAAGAGGCTACAATTTGCAAGAGCTCACCAAAATTGAACAGTTGAAGACTGGAAAAATGTTGCCTGGTCTGATGAGTCTCGATTTCTGTTGAGACATTCAGATGTTAGAGTCAGAATTTGGCGTAAACAGAATGAGAACATGGAACCATCATGCCTTGTTACCACTGTGCAGGCTGGTGGTGGTGGTGTAATGGTGTGGGGGATGTTTTCCTGGCACACTTTAGGCCCCTTAGTGCCAATTGGGCATCGTTTAAATGCCACGGCCTACCTGAGCATTGTTTCTGACCATGTCCATCCCTTTATGGCCACCATGTACCCATCCTCTGATGGCTAATTCCACCATGTCACAAAGCTCTAATCATTTCAAATTGGTTTCTTGAACATGACAATGAGTTCACTGTACTAAAATGGCCTCCACAGTCACCAGATCTCAACCCAATAGAGCATCTTTGGGATGTGGTGGAACGGGAGATTCGCATCATGGATGTGCAGCCGACAAATCTGCGGCAACTGTGTGATGCCATCATGTCAATATGGACCAAACTCCCTGAGGAATGCTTCCAGCACCTTGTTGAATCTATGCCACGAAGAATTGAGGCAGTTCTGAAGGCAAAAGGGGGTCCAACCCGTTACTAGCATGGGGTACCTAATAAAGTGGCCGGTGAGTGTATATAAAAGAAAAAGTATATCGTCAAATTTTTAGGCTAATGACATATTTTATATTTTTCATGTTTTTATAACAGGTTGCTATATAGATTACAATTGCTGACACAATTTCACATAATTTTCAATGTTGTGCTAAAACTGAATTAGGAAATCTTTTAGTTTGTGTCCCACTGTAACATACAGAGACATCAAGCGAGACCTCATCTACCTTCATATGCAACTATAATTTGTATCTTATATAGTGTTTATAATGGTAAAGGTAGGCAACAAAAAAGTTGAAAGTGCTTGAAACTCAAAAACAAACAAAAGCATAAGGTGCATCATGACATGGCAACATCATTTGCATTAGTTCACATTTATCATGCAATTGTTCAATTATTGACCAATCATTTGTTAAAAACTAACCTGGAAATGCAATTAAGTATGTAATAAAAATAACAAAGCTTGATGTGATGTTAAGTTGTTTCTCATTTGATGGTCATAAAAATACATTATATTTGATTTGATAATTATAATCTTTATTATAATCATAAGGTCAAGTAGAATGGAAAACATAAAAAATTACATTAAAATGTATTTAAAGATATCTAAGCTTAAAAACCTTAAGAAATACAAACTTTCCCCCTGTTTATTATGTGCAATATATCATTTATATGCCCAGTTTGGTTACATTTATTCTTACTTAAATAGTAAATACAAAAAAAATGTAAAACTCCATCACCAATCAATTATTAAAAACATTTTTAAAAAACTGTTTAAGTACATAATGCCAAACAATACAACTATTAATATTGCAGGGACTTCATGAGAGGTTCTTCATGCTTGAACAAAGCGTTGACCACATCCTTGGCAATGCTTTCACAATTCACACAGTCCAGCAGTTCCCTCATCTTCCTCTGGCCTGTTGCTTGCGCTCTCACATTTGCAACTGATTCATTGTGCAAGTTAAGATCATCAATGATTGCATCAATGTTCTTCACATTTTGAACCAACTGACTGGTGTTTGCTTTCAGAAACTTTTGATAATCTGTGAATATAAAAATAAGATAATTTAAATAATAACAGGAAAAGGAAAATGAAGGCAAAATGGGAAAGAATATAGATAGAATCTAACCTTGTATTGACCTGTTACCATTTTCTCTTCTTTCCCAGTCTCTATCAGGGTTCTGGACTGAAACATTAGAAAAAATAGGATTATAGTGATTAGTGAGATTATTATTATGTTTAAAAAAAAGTTGTATTATTGCTGCCATGAATTGATTTAAAAAAATGGGACAGTCATTTTGGGCAGTATTTAGCTTTGAGTCTGCTGTCAAACAAACGGCTGATATAGAAATAGTTACAATTCTGAGTCTGAATAATCCAGGAGCATGACACTAAATCAAATAAATTCCTCTTGGCACATTCAACAAAAATCAATCCAATAGTACCAAAAAACATAACATTTATCTGTATCCCAGATTTGCACATGACACTTTTAGACCAGAATGTAACCTTCCTTAAAATTGCTCCCAAATAGTTAACTACGAGTGCTTGATTAAGATTAATTTATATAGAGTCTTTTTATACATTACATAGGCCAAATCTGTTTTAATAGTTTCTCATTAAACTTACAATTTGCCGGCACATTTGATTTGGTAGAGGGTGCAAAAGTCATATTCATCTCACAGGAGCCTAGAGTTGAACCAGTTATCATAGGCGAAAACACATGGCCGCCATCAGATGCAGAGATTGTGCCTGTTTACATGAAATATCTGTCAGTTCATCTGTCAATTGTTCATTATACATCCAAATAGAGTGCAACAGCCAGTCCCCTTTTTCACCGTCGCTGGTTCCGGAAGTATTTTTTCATTCATATTTCCCATAGTGATTTTAAAATATATACAGTATGCAAAATATGCATATATAGCCTATACAAATATTTCAGTATTTTGAGAGGGTAGGGAGATTAGGTGTGTTCGACACCGGCTGCTGCTGGATGTAACCGATCGGCGAGAGTTGCCGCGTGCAGGCGGGGAGGAGAAACAGAGACGTGAAGTCGGACCATAGGAGTCGGACACTTTCTGGTTCCCGTAGTGACCGCACACATGGTGTTTGGATACTTTACCACAGCTGAAGTGAAATAAATGCAATATTTGCCAAATACACAGATGTTTCAGAGATACTTTTTGTAGCTACTGCTTCATACAGCGTCTTTTTGAACAAGAATAAAGTTCAACATAAGCCTATAGGTAGCCTAGCTACTATCAATGAAGTGGAGTCGACGTTTTTAAATCAGTTTTATTTTGACAAACATGAGACAATATACGGTAGGCATCGCGACTATGAAGAGTGTTTACTGTTTACTTTACAAAAAAACTGATTTGTGAGCTTTGTCGTTTGTCGTTGTCATGACAACACATTGTCGTTGTCATGCGGTGAATCCGGCCAATCGTGGAACAGCTGTGTCGTCATCAGAGCCCGTGCAGCCGCTCTTGAGAAGCTACGCTGGCTTAGTTCTCCGGCTACTCTCGAATCACTCTCGTGGTACTTTTTATGGCATACGTCACAGTCACGTGGCGTCGGCGATGTATCAAGTCAGACAAAATTTTCCATAGACAGTAAACTGACACAGTGACCCCATAGACTTCAACGGAGAAAAGTGAAGCCCATTAGAAGCACTCACTTCCTGATGGCTGAGCGTACTGCGCAGGCTCAAACTGAGCTTGACGACATAGATGTGACGTGAGCAACCTGTCTGACAGTTGTAAGTCTTCTAGTAGCTGTGCCAAGAGGAATCTGAATCATTCCCTTCCGAATCTTGCAGAGACGGAGAGCGTGAGTAGGAGCTGTCCATGAGCTAGCAGCAGGATCAACTTTATGACTCTCTATGGGCTTCTCCTCCTTGACTTTATCGGACGTTATGCCTCCACCATCCCCCCGATTGCTTGTGAGCGTCTCCTCCTGTCTATACGGTAATTTCTCTACTGTGCGACAAAGAGTCGTGTGTTATGACGCAATCGTTAGCCTATTTTTACAAAAACAGCTTCTACGGGGCCATAACGTAAGATACAAAGTAATGGAGCCTTTCATACATTGTGTTTCTTTAGAAATAAATAATGGACAAATGGAGTCTTTGGACGCTCCAGATGTAAAGTTATTTGCTGTCAAAGTGACGCCAAAATGAATGGGAGTCAATGGAATGCTAACAGCAGGTGATAGCCAGCTACAATGGCGGCCCCCAGAGGAAGCTTCAGTTTCCGGCTGATGGATTACCCCCTTGAAAATTTCGAACCGGCATGCACGCCGAATCTTGCCGATTCTAAGCCGCCAATCGGTCTGCGCAGAGCTGCATGAAGTCGAACAAGCCTCATGTCATTCGCAGAGTGGGCGGAGATATAGAGCTATTTTGTAGTGTGTTGCTTTTATTCACTCTCTGTTTGGCATAATTTTCACTACAGCATCATGGCTAATGTAGTTTTAACCAGGAGTTCCACTGTGAAACACCATTATTTAAAAAAATAAGCTGAAATAATGCGGGCTGGAGGCTTTATCAGAAGCAAATACCATGTATTAACAACCTCTTAACTCACAGTAGGTCTGTCTTTAAAGGGGTCATATAATGCCATTTTTGTACAAGCTAGTATGATTCTTTAGGGTCTAAATTAAAAGTTTGTAATATACTTTAATTAAAAATTGTCATTATTATTGTAAGAAAACACTTATTTTACTTGGTCAAAAACAGCTCTGTTTTCAGCACGCCGTTTCAGTGCATATGACTTTAAATGATAATGAGCTTTGCTCACCCCGAGGCGCCTCTCTGGTATGCGCCTCTCTGGTATGCGTACACCGTTTGTAACACAATAACACAATAACCATAACGCGTTGTTCAGTATAAACGTGGGATTATGAATTATATTGAGAACATCATACATAGAAAACATGCCGTAATGTAACGTTACCCTAAGAGTAAACCTTAGACGCATTCATTGTGAAGCGTGCAGCTAGCGATTTGCAAAGATTAATATAAATATTAATATAAAGTTTAATAAAACGTTACACTCACTTCAGTTGTTCTAGAGGTTCAGCAGGAACACGAATAGCTGGTACCGATCCTTTTTTCATGAGCAGCTTCTTAGCAAAACCAGCTTTATACTGACCCTCGTTTATAAAGCAGTCTGGTGAGAAATGATTCGCGCAAACATGAGAGCATTGACGTTGCTCGTGGGGAATATTCCCTTCGAAAACAAACTCAGCCACTGCGTCTTCAGCGGTTCGGATTCAGGAACATTAAAATGACTGCTGTGTTTGTTATTACACCCAAGAACAGAACACCACAATCGCTAAAGCCTAGTTCACACTACATGATTTTAAAACGTCGGGCTGAACTGTGCGGTTCACACTACATGACTTGCTCTCTGTGAGATCAGGAGTGTTCAAGTTGTTGAGCTGTTCACACCACACGACACAACGTGATTGATCCGCAACAGGAGGTAACGCACTACACGAGTTGACAACAACTCTGTCACCCTACGATTCTATCTTGTCTACAAACCACGTTTTGTCACAAAAAATCACGCGATAAAACGAACCGGAAATGACGCGAAACATCACGCGCGCTAATACCCAGCGAAGAAGACGAAGACCCATGCCTTGCTCTGATTGGAGCAACCCATGCCTTGCTCTGATTGGCTGTAGCTCATGACATCACTGAGGTTGAGTCGGGCGACAGCTCTGGATATCTAGCAGGCTAGATATTTTTCTGGGCTCGGCGACGCGTCTGCGAGGCGTCAGCGAGCGTCTTTGATGCGTTGTTGGCTCTTTCATACTAACAGATTGGTGAGCGTCCATTGTCCGCTAATCCCCCGCGATTTGCACGCGATAACACCCTGACCTGTCGGCGAGCTCAACGATTTGCAAATCGGGCTTAAATCGGGCTTATAATCCTGTAGTGTGAACTAGGCTTTAGACGCCATTCTGCTCATAGACAGTGCTCCAGCATATCAACAATGACCGCGCCGGTCCGCGCAGACTATGATTGACAGCTCCCTCACGACCGAGGGCGGGTCTGTGTTGAAACAATGCTGTCAATCAACAATCGTGGGAGGGGCTTCAGAGCGTGTGACGTCACAAAATCGAACGGCTCAATTTGAGGCAGGGGAAAACATATAAGGAGATTAAAACAAAAACACTGGATGGATTTTTATCATTTTATGATGGTTGTGTACAGGCACTGCCAACACACATTTCAGTACAATCAACTTGTAAAAGTGCATGTACCATTATATGACCCCTTTAAAATCAATTTCCGTATGGAGAAAATAAATGTTTTTACTTCCAGAACCAGGCTGTTGCACTCTATAATGTTTCTCATTACAAATAAATATAATACATATAATAAAACCACACTAACTTATTACTTGGGTGCCTGATTGTCCCGCAGTGTTTGCCATCTCTAGAGAGAGAAAGAAAAAAGGATACCATGTTATTTTAAATGGCAAAAATCATGCAAGAATCCTATAGGCAGTAATGCAGTGCATTACAGTACATTGATCTGCCCTGTTTAACACAACACATACGCTATTTAGGGTGAGACAAAAAAAGATGGAATCTAACCTTGTATTGACCTGTTAGCAGCTTCTCTTTTTTCCCAGTCTTTATCGGGTTTCTGGACTGAAACATTAGAAAAAAATATATAATTATTTTGAGATTAGTTATTTGTTTGTTTGTTTGTTCGCAAGAATTGAGTCCAATGTGTATATAACTTTGATGAAGTTTACAGTTATTTTCCATTCAGGGCAGAATAATAATATTGAACCATCTGAAAGAAGACACTTGAAGGCGCCCAGCAACGACTCTAAAGGCCTAACTGAATTCACCCTATGAAGCCAGTTTTCACTAGGCATAATAGGTTTGTCTTTTGTGGCTTGAATAAAGTAGCTATGGCCTGGTTTCACAAACTGGGCTTAGATTAAGGCAGGATTAGTCCTCAGTTCAATTAGGGCATTTAAGGAGCTTTTATAAACATAGTGTTGCCAGGGTCACGGTTTTCCCCACAATTGGGCTATTTTGAAAATGCATTTGCGGGAAAAATTACAGTGACAAAACAAGAGTGTAAAAGACTATAAAGGGTATTAATAATGGTCTTGACTGAGATCAGAAAATATAAGTTTTCTGTAAAGCTGCTTTGTATTGCGAAAAGCACTAGGCTATATAAATAGTTTTGACTTTACTTTTATGGATGGCATTATCTCCTTATCACATTCTGACAGCATTCAAATGTATAGCTTACATTTTAAACAATTGATTAGGCTATGCAATGTAATGAAAGTTAAAACCAAAGACAGAGAAAAAGAAGAATTTAAAAGTACCAAAATTTAAAAAAATAAGTAACTAAAGAGGAATAAAATACAGATTAAATAGTTAAATATGCACATATTGAGAGTGGACGTATGCTTTAGAAATTAGTATTTTATTTCATTTTATTTTTCAAAAACCAAAACTCATCGACGCCATTTTGTTCATTCTTAAAGGGGTCATATAATGGTACATGCACTTTTTCAAGTTGGTTGTACTGAAATGTGTGTTGGCAGTGCCTGTACACAACCATCATATAATGATAAAAATCCATCCAGTGTTTTTGTTTTAATCTCCTTATATGTTTTCCCCTGCCTCAAATCGAGCCGTTCGACCGTGTGACGTCACATGGTCGGACGCCCCTCCCGCGATTGTTGATTGACAGCCGGGTTTCAACACAGACCCGCCCTCGCTCGTGAGGGAGCTGTCAATCATAGTCTGCGCGGACCGGCGCGGTCATTGTTGATATGCTGGAGCACTGTCTATGAGCAGAATGGCGTCTAAGCGATTGTGGTGTTCTGTTCTTGTGTGCAATAACGAACACAGCAGTCATTTTAATGTTCCCAAATCCGAACCGCTGAAGACGCAGTGGCTGAGTTTTGTTTTCGAAGGGAATATTCCCCACGAGCAACGTCAATGCTCTCATGTTTTCGCGAATCATTTCTCAGCAGACTGCTTTATAAACGAGGATCAGTATAAAGCTGGTTTTGCTAATAAGCTTCCTGAATAAAGGATCGGTACCAGCTATTCGTGTTCCTGCTGAACCTCTAGAACAACTGAAGTGAGTGTAACATTTTATGAACCTTTATATTAATATTTATATCTTTGCAAATCGCTTGCACGCTTCACGATGAATGAGTCTAAGGTTTACACTCAGGGTACATTACGGCATGTTTTCTATGTACGACGTTCTCAATATAATTCATAATCCCACGTTTATAATGAACAACGCGTTATGGTTATTGTGTTACAAACGTGTACGCACAGAACAGAGGGGCGGAGTGAGCACAGCTCATGATCATTTAAAGGCATATGCACTGAAACGGCGTGCTGAAAACAGAGCTGTTTTTGACCAGGTAAAATAACTGTTTTCTTGCAATACTAATGAGAATTTTTAATTAAAGTATATTACAAACTTTTAATTTAGACCCTAAAGAATCATATTAGCTTGTACAAAAATGGCATTATATGACCCCTTTAAAGTAGGCTAAACTACTTTTTTAATTACATTTACTTTATTGTACTTGAAGTTGAGCACATGGGCTACCATACCGAATATTCTACCGAATGTTGGGCTGGCAAATCTTGAGGCTGGATGAGAACCCTATGAAAAATTGCACTTACACAGTGTTGATTAAAATACCAGGTAATTGTGAAATGTGGATAAATGTGAAAATACACTTTATGAAAACACAGGTTATTCCCAAACCCAATCTTATAAAAAAAAATACTTGCTGTCCAATTCCAGGCCTTTCAGCTAAAATAGGCCACTCACTTTATGCACTGGTTTTTAAGAGATATGCAAAGGATGTGCACAATGCGTTTTATTTTTTCAAAACATTCCTGAAGTGTTCACTGTTTTAATCCATTTTCTGAGTTCGGGAGAAAATTCATTCACATCATCCTTTTTCAGCAAATTCAGAAAATCCCGACACACATTTTCACCCTTTCCATGGATGATGTCCAGAAGTTTGATAACTACCTCCATGGGAACTGTCATATATTTAAGATTTTCGTACTATGTCGTTGTTATAAGTTCGTACTGTTGAACATGTTGCAAAATATGAAGCCAATCCAATTTAAGCCAACGGATGAGTTCAGTTTTGTTTTTCAAAAGTACATCCATTTTCGACAACAGTTCACGCAACAACCTTGTGACGATAGACAGTAAAAGAAATGGACACAGCGACCCCGTTGATTTCAACGGAGAGAGTTGAAGCCCAACATGGGCACTCACTTCCTGATAGCCAAGCGTTCTGCGCAGGCTCAAACTGAGCTTGACGACGTAGTTGTCACGTGAGCAACCGTTCTGACCTTCTAGTAGCTGTGCTGGGACAAATCTGAATTGAAATCTGAAACAAATCTGTTGTTGAAATATTTTGTCCCGTTGCTTTTATGAACTCTCTATCTATGGGCTTCTCCCTTGACTTTATGCCTCCATGTGTCACGTTCACACTTAGGAAAAGGAGAACTCAAGTGCAAAACAAGGAAGGTTTATTTACAAAACAGAACAAACACAAATCAAAAACCCACGAGGGGGAAAACATAATAAATGAACATAAAACAAACACTGGGTCAAGAATACAGGGAACACCAACCAGGAACAGAGAAACATCTGACAATGACAACGAACCGACCAAGACTGCAAACATGAGGAGACTTATAAAGGGAACAAATCAAGAGGGAACAGGTGGAGAAACTCAAACACTAATCAGGTAACGAGCGGGAGGGATCAAACAATGACAGAGGCACATGGCCCAACATAACAACCACCCATGTGCAACACAAGACAGGACAGACATGTGACATAACCCCCTCCCTACGGAGCGGCTACCAGACGCTCCATGAGGCTAGGGCGGGGCAGGAAGGAAACATCAGGCGGAACGGGAGGGACAGACCAGGGCGGGACAGGGGGGACAGACCAGGGCGGGACAGGGGGGACAGACCAGGGCGGAACGGGACATCGACCGGCCAGGGCGAGACAGAGTTCATCAGGCGGCCAGGGCGGCGAAGAACCCTCGAGTGGCCAGGGCGGCGAAGAACCCTCGGGCGGCCATGGCGGTGAAGAACCCTCGGGCGGCCTGGGCGGATCAGACCTTTCAGGTGGCCAGGGCGGTGAAGACCTTTCAGGTGGCCAGGGCGGATCAGACCTTTCAGGTGGCCAGGGCGGTGAAGACCTTTCAGGTGGCCAGGGCGGATCAGACCTTTCAGGTGGCCAGGGCGGTGAAGACCCTTCGGGTGGCCAGGGCGGTGAAGACCCTTCGGGTGGCCAGGGCGGAGCAGACCCCTCGGGCGGCCAGGGCAGATCAGGCCTTTCAGGTGGCCAGGGCGGTGAAGACCCTTCGGGTGGCCAGGGCGGAGCAGACCCCTCGGGCGGCCAGGGCAGATCAGGCCTTTCAGGTGGCCAGGGCGGTGAAGACCCTTCGGGTGGCCAGGGCGGAGCAGACCCCTCGGGCGGCCAGGGCGGATCAGGCCTTTCAGGTGGCCAGGGCGGTGAAGACCTCGGTTCAGGCTCTGGGACAGGCACAGGCTCAGACTCTGGGATAGACACAGGCTCAGGCTCTGGGACCGACACCGGCTCCGGGTCAAGGACAGGCTCCGGGACAGGGACAGGGACAGACACTGGCTCAGGGACAGACACTGGCTCAGGGACAGACATTAACACAGACACAGTCATAAGAACATAAACAAATACAGAAACAAACATAGATTCCGGCTCAGGGACAGACTCCGGCTCAGGGGCAAACACAATCTCCGGGATCGACACAGGCTCAGGGACAGGGACAGACACTGGCTCAGGGACAGATACTAAAACAGAAACAGTCAACATAACAGAAACAAATACAGACACAAACATATCTTCCAGCTCAGGGCCGGACACAGGCTCTGAGACAGGCACCGGCTCAGGGACAGATACCGGTTCAGGGACAGGCACCGGTTCAGGGAAAACCACCGGTTCAGGGACAGGTACCGGCTCAGGGACAGGTACCGGCTCAGGGACAGGCACCGGCTCAGGGACAGGCACCGGCTCAGGGACAGGCACCGGCTCAGGGACAGGTACCGGCTCAGGGACAGGTACCGGCTCAGGGACAGGCACCGGCTCAGGGACAGGCACCGGCTCAGGGACAACCACCGGTTCAGGGACAGGTACCGGCTCAGGGACAGGTACCGGCTCAGGGACAGGCACCGGCTCAGGGACAGGCACCGGCACCGGCTCAGGGACATGAGCGGTCTCTCGCTGGGCAGAGGGGACGTGAGCAGTCCTTCGCTGGGCAGACGGGACGTGAGCAGTCTCTCGCTGGGCGGACGGGACGTGAGCAGTCTCTCGCCGGGCAGACGGGACGTGAGCAGTCTCTCGCTGGGCAGACGGGACGTGAG